TGTGAAAATACATAAAAGAAAATTACAGGATGGTGCTCTCAAATGCACACGTTACATCCTATATGAAGTCACAAAATATTCTTTGTGAAACAAAATGTTGGTTCCTGTTTGGGGAATGTAATGGTGACGAGACCGACGTGTCTCCGTCTTTCGAAGGTGGTGGTGTTAGCCAGTCCCTTCTACAGGATACTTTCCACGAAGTTGAAGTCCAAGCTTTTCGAAGCTTAAGCTCGGTACACCCAAGCTCTTGTAATAGTTGAAGCTAAGGTTCAACCCCAGTACGCTCTTGAATTAAAAATTAGGAATTTTAGGTTTTGATAGTGAAACGAAGAGGAGTCCTTGTGGTGTTTTGCTTGTCGCTAGGAGCCGTTACCCAAATTAACTCAATTGCAGAACAAGTTTAAGAGTCATTCTTGATCCCTCGAAGTCGGGACAGTCATTCTCCTCTACGTTGCGAATTACTTTCTTGCCGCACAAGCGTGCGTGTTGTATCAAGGTTTTGTCGAGATCAGCGCCCTCTTATATTCACGCACGAAATCTCGGTAAAATCGGTGCTCATATTGTGGGGTATTTTGAAGCGATAGATGTTGCAGGTCTTAATACCATCCTTCTAGACGTATTAAGTGCGCTAAAAAAAATCCCACCCGTTAAAAGAGGTGAAATGTGGCGGACCATGTCCAGGAGATGTATATTTTTTTCGCTGCAACGACGTCTGACTTTCTCTCGGAGAAGATAACGTTAACCATTTTTATGAAGGATCTCCAAGTATAATCGTGTTAAGATCTTATCGGCTTCTCGTTCAGATTAAGAAAACAGTGTTACACTGTATAGTAACCCCATCACAAACAGGTACATACTAATTTTTGGTGTACGACCACTTTACCCTATTGTCCCCTCTGGATAAGAGCCTCGGACAAAAGCATGTTAATTCGACGAGGTTACACGACAAGAAGTGATATCGATTTAGAAGGCATGAAAGGTACGGGGACCTGAGCTTCTACGAGCTCGACCCGATAATCCCCTTGCCAGAAAGGTCGAGTCTTGATCATTTCTGTTGACAACCAACCTTTCTGGTCTGCGAGCTCCGTCTCTCAAAGAGAACATTATTTAGGGCTGCTTTGCATGGCCTCCACCTCCACAAGGTACGGTACAATCAACCCCGAAGCGTTGCTGTTTACAATAATTGCTGGCGATATTGCTGAGATTTGGCCGACAATTCAGCGCCCGGATGCTCACGCGATCATCTCGTCAATGCGGCCTCGAGAAAATGATTTAGAAGCAAACGATTAGAATCAAAGCCTCGGTAAATTTTGTCTGATTAAAGGTATCCACCGAACTGAACCATGAGAACTTAAGAAAACAAATCAAGTATTTGCTTTGTCGTTATTGAAACTAAAGATAGTTATGTATTTAGTGTGTCCTGCATTATACCAATAAAATATCTACGTTTCTTACCACGATGACACAGACATTAGCATCCGTTTCTATAGTCTTGTTGCTATGGGCGCTGCTACCAAGCAGTCATGCGTCAAGTTTTCAAGGAGAACTCTTTTCATCTGCTTACTATCACTGGTTTTATCGCCGGTATCGAGGTGGAGCTTGGATAGCTCATCAAGAACGACACGAGTGTTTTGGACACTCCACAATGTGTACATTTGTATCACGAAATGACATGACGAAATTGTCGGTTAATACGACAATTGTTCAGCATCTAGACACAGTTGAAGTGACTTTTGCAATCAAGGATATCGAGATTGATGATCTCGTGGCAGTTTATCTTGTCGATTCTGAGAAAGTTACAAAGTTCGAAGGAGACCCTCTTTCGGATTTTATTGACTACGTCTATGCCAATGAAAGTCGCACTATTCATTCGGGAGTCTTTTCGATTGTATTTGGACCTTTGGTAAATATGCGAGCGTCTTATCAATTTAAATATCTTCGAAAGCTCGAGTCTGTTGAATATAATGAAGATGGCCAAGAGCGACCACGATTTGCAGTCGTGGGTGATTCTCCTTTTATTGAGATGGAACGAGGTCATACTGAACCATTACAAATTCGATTAGCATTGACCGAAAATAAGGGAGAATTGCGTGTTACGTGGGTTAGTGGACAAACCGCTGGTCCTTATGTAAAGTTTAAACTAGCATCAGGACAATTGTTAGAAAGTCGAGCAAATGCAACATTTGGATCGTATGATGCTCAAGATCTGTGCGAACCTTCTGCTACGAATCGTTCTTCTGTTTATTTTCGACACCCAGGGTATCTTTATGATGCTGTGATGACTGATTTAATCCCTGGTAGGAAGTACGTTTATCGAGTAGGTAGTGACACAGGAGTATTAAGTCCAGAGATTGAGTTTATCTTTCCTACAGCGCTTCAAGATTACGATGCGGACAAGCAGCAAAGACCACAAAGTTTCTTTGTCTTTGGAGACCTTGGCACTAGCGTGCTAGATGAACCAGTCGACGAGCTTGATATCGATCAAAGCCCAGAACGCCATTTCACTGGACTAAACATGGTGTCGAGACCTGCAAAATGGAGTGACGAGCGTTCTGTGATGGAGCGAATTTGTCAGGATCTTGATGAATCGCTACAAGATGATGCAAGAATTGATTCCCCCGAATACGCGGCGCTGGTACATGTGGGCGACATTTCGTATGCCAAGGGCAAGACGTACATCTGGGACCAATATGGTGCAATTGTACAGTCTGTGGCTTCACGACTGCCGTATATGGTAGGAGTTGGAAATCACGAGTATGACTATATAGAGAATGGTGAAGGTCATGATTTGTCCGGAGAAGAGGCTGCGCTTTCGAATGGATGGCATCCAAAAAATGGGAACTTTAAAACTGATTCCAATGGAGAATGTGGCGTTCCTTTTGCTCGTCGCTTTCACATGCCTCAAGCAACGAATGAGGGCGCGAATCCTCCATTCTGGTACAGCTTTCAAGTAGGATTGACCCATCACATCGTTTTAAGTAGCGAACATCGCTGCACAAGTGGCTCATCCATGCGAAAGTGGCTCGAAAGAGAACTGGAACAATATGTTGACCGTAATGTAACACCATGGCTGATTGTACATCTTCATCGTCCACTTTACTGCTCAGAGATGTACGAAGCGGATAACAATGTAGCTAAGATATTACGTGATTGCTTTGAAGATCTCTTCGCTACAAACAATGTGGACTTTGTCTTTTCTGGACATTACCACGCTTATGAACGAACGTTTCCAGTATATCATGGTATTTGTCAAGAACATGATCAAAAGGCACAAGCTCCCATTCACATTATGATTGGTTCAGGAGGGGCAGAACTTGACGATATTTCATATTTTCAGTCCTTTTGGAGTCGGTCGCGACAACAAGAATATGGATATGGACGACTTCACATTTACAATGCGTCGCATGCGCGCTTTGAGTTCGTACGTGCTCGTGATCGTGTAGTGACCGATGCCATTGTTGTCATATCAAATCACATGAATGCCTTCGAGCAAGAGAATTAGAGAACATTGCCACAGCTTGATATTGTTGTTGTTAAATTTTTAAATACATTTGAATAGTATTACTCTTAATAAAAGTAGTAGTTTACATAGTATTCTCAGATTATTTTGCTTTTCTTATTGGTATCAATCATGGCACTTGCTGGTGGTGCAGATGCGTCTACGTCTACAGAAATGTCACCACGCCTTCCTCATATCATTTATGAAGGTGATACGGTTATTTGTCAGACAAGTGATGGCCGAATGTTTTTTCAGGCTATCACCAAGAACGAGTATGTCGCTATCCATCGTCTATCTACCACCAGTTTCATCATATTGATACTGTTTAGCTAATTTTTATATTACATTAGATCTATTCGCGTTGGAAAAAAAGTGGCAAGCTTGAAGCCTGTTGTCGGCTCGTTTTACGGGTATCTCGAGACCCTAAAGACATTCGTCGACGAATTGTTTCTAATTATATTTGTGAGCAGTGCCATTTTTGAAGAACAGAACAAGAAGTTAGTCAAGGTGACAGGTGGACTATTTCCCGATCCTGTGGCTCCGGGTAAGAAATGGCATAAAAAGTAGTGTTTACTTTCTACTCTATTACTATTATTCTGTTTAGAAACGGGGGAAGGCTTAAATCCAGATGAAGACAATCGGCACTTTGCAGACACAAATTCAGCGCAAATGCTGAAACAAACAGATATTGGTGAACTGCGTGATAAAGGTGCATCCGGTAAAGAGATTATTCAAAAATTGGTGGAAAATAGCTCCACTTGGGAAACCAAAACGGACTTTTCCAAGCAAAAGTATTTGAAGAAGAAACAACAGAAGTATATGCCTCGTGTCCGATTTCTCCGTTGCACGGCTGAATCACTTTGTCGCACGTATCGGTTGAAAAATCCGATGAAAATTTGTAATATGCGAGAGGATTCGTTAGGTCAGATTTTAGTTTATGCAAATATCTTTGCAGGTGGACAAGTGCTAGTTGTAGACACTTGCATGGGTCTAGTAGCTGGTGCCATTGCTGAGCGTCAAAGAGGTACTGGATGCATTATCTGTCCGTACGAGGGTCAGCAACCTGCAGCAGATATTTTGCGTCGATTTAACTTTGGTAAGATTTTGAAGCTTTGAGGATTGAAAACTATTATATGAATAAAATTGCGTTACTCCTGTAGACAAGCAGACGCTCGAATCCATACATTACATGCCTTTTAATCAAGTCCGAATGCTTGAAATGGTATGATGTAGAGATCTTCACCTTTAAAAAAATAACAAACTAAAGGAATTCTCAATTATAGAATGAAGAAGATGTAGTGGAAATCAAGCAAGTCGCTCGGGATGGGCTGTCGCAGGAAGAGCGAGAGCGTATGGCAGCAGAGCGTGCCAAGAATTTCACACCTGAGCAGCAAAAACGTTTTGCAGAGAAAAAAGCACTTCGTGAGCAAACAAAACTTTTTCGACAAAAGCCGTCAACAATCCGTGAATGGGTTCGTCAAAAGTCTGACAGTCTTGTCATTGCTGCAAATTATGATCCCGAGAAGGTTTTGATGGCACTCTTGCCATACCTCGGTCGTTCAAAGCCATTTGTGATCTACTCTGAATTTCTCGAGGTAAGTGAATGGAGCATCTTTGAAAATTTAGCTGACAACGTATTGTCACTTTTTGATTTGGTCTTGTAGCCATTAACTCGAACGTTTGCTACACTTCAAAAACTGGAGGCAATAATTGATTTGCAATTGAATGAAACTTGGACTCGAGAGAATCAGGTGCTACCTGGTCGCACTCATCCAGAGATGAGCATGAGTGCTTGTAGTGGTTATTTGCTTTCGGGAATTAAAATTCTTGATATTTCGCCGCTTAAAGCCACAGTAAATGGCATTGAAATTGAACAAGATAGCAGCAGTAAAGATTTCAGCAATGGCCCAGCCTCAAAGAGGGCAAAGACCGAGACAAAAAAATAGATGATTAGGTAGTAGTATTATAGATTTTTTTTAAAGAAATACTACTCTTAATAAAATATATTACTCGAACACTCTTGTAGTAATTAATCTTCATTAATGTTAAATACCGGTATGCGACGCTTTTCATCATCGGTGCGTTGTCGAACGTTCGCCTCGACAAGTACAAGCTGCAAGCAACCAGGCCGTGTAGTCGTCGTCACATCTGGCAAAGGTGGTGTGGGTAAGACAACAGTCACAGCTTCAATCGGCTACGGCCTGGCAAAGCGTGGTTTCCGTACATGTCTGATTGATTTCGATATTGGACTCCGCAACCTCGACTTGCATCTGGTATGTCATACACAAATTCATAATCAAGTCTTTA